TGTAGAAAATAAAGGCTATATCAAGACTACAAATGAAGAGAGTGGAGATGAATAAAGTAGGGGGGGATAAACTATAAGTATGATTTGAAGATTTTGGGTATGTGATGTCGTGGAAAAACCACTGCCTTGAAAACGAGATTTGGCCCGTCCAAGGTACAAAACGTTATGGCCGGCGGCTCGTTCCCCAAGGTTAAAATCACTCCCACACACTCATGTACTTAAGGGTGAGGGATTGGAGTCACACAAGGTTTTGCTCAATAATCAAGAAGAAGAACACAACATGATGTAATGTATCTCCATACCAACCATGAAAATTGGTTTTATATAGACTACTTGTTACCTTAAAAAAGATGTTACAAGTCTCATAAACACAACAATGTTATAAAATAAGGAATAAAGGAAGAGAGAATATTGGAGAAAGATATAGATTGTAATGTGTTGTTCTTCCATTTCATTAGTCCATGTCATATATATACATGATGAATATTATATAACCTATATGGACAATAAAGAGTCCATTCATGTGGGGGTTACAATGTGGAGTAATAAAGGTATATGGGGGTTACAAGGAGGTTATAAAAGAGTCATAATATTGAGGGAGTTACAAGTCATAATGGGCATACACAATTATTATTTTTGTAACACTCCCCCTTGGATGCCCATTATCAAAGATAGATTTAATGCGCATATATGCTGCCTCATTAAAAATCTTTTCAGGAAAACCCCGTGGGAAAAAAACCATGGATAAGGGAAAAAGAGTGCAGCGCGAAGTTTCTCCCCCTCATAATTATATCACTGAAGATCTTTAAGATGACACAATCCAATACGACGAACTAGCTTTTTAAATGTTGCAGTTGGAAGAGCCTTAGTATATAAGTTAACTAAGTTCTCGCTTGAACAAATCTGCATAACTTTTATACCTCCATTCTTCAGAAGATCACGAGTAAAGAAAAATTTGCGTGAGATGTGCTTTGTTCTATCACCTTTGATGTATCCTTCCTTAAGTCGAGCAATACAAGCTGAATTATCCTCATATAGAGTCGTCGACGCTTCTTTCCCGGATGATTAACCACAAACTTCTTATATATGTTGAATCAACGACCTTAACCATACACATTCACGACCAACCTCGTGAATTGCTAAAATTTTAGAATGATTGGAAGAAGTAGCTACAATGGTTTGTTTCTTGGATCGTCAAGAAATGGCAGTACCACCATATGTGAACACTTAACCAGTTTGTGATCGAGCATTATGTGGATCAGATAAATAACCTGCATTTGCAAAACCAATCAAACTTTCTTTGGACAATTTAGGAAAGAATAAACCCATATCCTTCGTACCTTGAAGTCAACGAAGTATATGTTTAATCTCATTCCAATGCCTTCGGGTTGGACATGAACTAAACCTTGCTAATAAATTAACTGAAAAATGATATGTTGGGTCGTGTATGACTTGCAAGGTATATTTGTGCTCCAATTGCACTTAGGTATGACACTTCAAGACCGAGAATGTCTTCATCCTATCATTTTTCGGGATCGGAAAGGATCCTTCTCTACATCAAGTGATCTTACAACCATAGGGCTGCTCAATGGATGTAATGTATCCATAGAAAATCTTTTAAGGACTTTTTCTGTGTATGTTGATTGATGCACAAGGATTCCATTCTCTAGGTGATCCTCTATCTGTAACCCCAAGAAAATTTTTGTCTTTCCAAGATCTTTCATTTCAAACTCTTTCTTTAAGCAATCGACAGTCATCGAAATCTCTTCAGGGGTTCCAATGATATTCAAATCAACAACATACACTGCAATTATAACAAATCCTGATCCAAATTTCTTTATAAAAATACATGGGGCAATAGGATCATTCTTATAACCTTCTTTTAACAAATACTCACTTAGACGGTCATACCACATGCGTCCAGATTGTTTCAATCCATAAAGAGATTTGTTCAATTTAATACTGAAAATGTTCTCGAGAACTAGATAGATTTTGCTGCTTTCGGGCATCTGGCAGCTTAAATCCTTCTAGGAGTTTCATGTAAATGTCATTATCCAGTGGGCCATATAAATAAGTTGTGACTACATCCATCAAATGTAAGTTAAGTCCTTCTCTTATTGCCAAACTAATCAAAAATCTAAAAGTAGTTGCAGCCACCACAGGAGAGTATGTCTCCTCATATTCAATACCAGGTCTTTGTGAGAATCCTTGTGCAACTAATCGTGCCTTATATCTTACAACTTCACCATTTTCATTTCTCTTTCGCACAAAGACCCATTTATATCCCACTGGCTTTACACCTTCAGGTGTACGGACTACAGGTCCGAATACTTCTCTTTTTCCAAGAGATTTTAATTCTAATTCAATTGCTTCTTTCCATTTTGGCCAATCATTTATTTGTCTACATTCTTCAATGGATTTTGGTTCATGATCCTTATTATTATCCATAACATCTAATGCCATATTGCATGCAAAAACATCATTGACGTCGATTAGATTTCGGTTCCATGTAATTCCAGACATGATATAATTTGTTGAAATTTCTTCATTATCCAGGTACCTGAATTTCTTCTTGTATCATGTCTAAAGTCTCTTTTGGAGATCCTTCGGAAATTGCTTTTTCAATTTGACCATCATCCATCAAGCATTGCTCCTTTTCTTTTCCGAGGATTCTTATCTTTGGAACCTATTGGTCTTCCACATTTAAGAAGTGGTTTAGACTCATTAACAAATTTATTTTGTCCTTCCGGGACATCTATTTTAAATGGAGCATTTACAGCTGGAATATGTGACTTAGTCACTCTTTTTGGGTCAGCAAACGAGTCCGACAATTGATTTGCTAAACTTTGTAAATGAATTATCTTTTAAAATTTCAGTTCACATTGTTTAGTTCGAGGATCAAGATAAGATAGTGATAATTCATTCCATTTAATTTTATTTTCCAGCTCTCTTTTTTCTCCCCCTAATGTTGGGAAAAGTGACTCGTTAAAATGACAATCTGCAAAACGAGCCGTAAATAAATCCCCTGTTGTAGGCTCAAGATATTTAATTATTGATGGGGATTCAAATCCAACATATATTCCCAAGCTCCTTTGAGGACCCATCTTAGAGCGTTGTGGTGGAGCTATTAGGACATAAATATCACATCCAAAAATTCTAAGATGGGAAATATTTGGTTCTTGACCATGAATCAATTGTAATGGGGATAACTTGTGATAACTTGTTGGCCTAATGCGAATTAGTGCTGCTGCAAGTAATATAGGATGTCCACAAGCATAAATTGGGAGGTTAGATTTCATAAGTAATGGTCTGGCAATTAATTGAAGACAATTAATTAATTACTCTGCCGCCAGACCGTTTTGTGTATGAACATGTGCTACAGGATATTCAACATTTATCCCAATGGATATGCAATAATCATTAAAAACTTGAGGAGTAAATTCACCAGCATTATCAAGACGAATAGTCTTAATAAGAGTATCTGTAAAATGTGCCCGTAACACAAAAATCGGTGATTAAGGGCTCGGCGAAGAAGAAGAGTCTGGGGCAATGGACTATATATTCAAAACCCAAAGAGGAAATGCGAATTGGGCTAAGAAACGACCCAATTGAAGAAGTCCAAGTTTGCTCGGGAGCTCGCCCGGCAAGGCAAGCCCTCGCCCGAAGGCGCGCCCGGCAGGGCGAGGAAGAAGGAAGAGAGTAGTTGCTCGCCCGAAGGCGCGCCCAGCAGGGCGAGATGGCGCCTAACCGAGCGCGTGTTTCTGAGTTCGTTTAGCACTTTTAATCTTCTTTTAGCTTAGGTTTTCTTAGTTTAATATAAATACGCTTTTGTTAAGCGAGTTAGGGACCTTCTTTTCTCTCCCTCTCTCTCTACTTTTCTCATTAGTTTAATATCTTAGTTTTTAGTTTTAAGCTTTTAGTTAATACTCTTGATCCCTCTCGACACTTTTAGTTTATGCAATTCTTTACTTCTGTCTACTTTGGTAACGATTTCTTCCCTCTTTACTTTCAGTAATTTAATTGCTTTGATTTAATTATGCTTTCTTTAATTGCCTTGCTTAGTTTAGATTTAAATATGTGCGAGCAGTTTTATTTCTAGGGTTGTGGGGATCCATAATTAATATGACGGGGTTTCTTTATTATTGTTGATTGTCAATGTTTTGGTTGATTTCCTATTGATTGATTTAATGCAATGTAATTAGATTTGCGCAGGTTAAATTGTATGAGTTATGCAATATTGATTCGAGATTCGAGAGATGAGAATTAATGTTTAGGCTTAGTTTCAATAGGCAGATTAATTTATAAATGGTTAAGTCAAGATTCGAGAGATGCGATTTAATACCAGTAGATTAATTCTGTGATCGTAATACGTAGTGAAAGCCCTTTATGATCTGATTAATCTATGCATTGATGATTGATTATTATGTTTTACCTTGTAATATTATTTATTGGTTAACCTATACCCTAGGCCTTTTATTATTGTTTTCCTCCCTTATTTAATTTGCTTCAGTTTAGTTATTAGTTTAATTCTCACAAAAACAATTTGGTTACTTGATAATTTAGATTATGTTAATTAATTAGGAATAGAAAGACCTGTTTCTCTGTGGATTCGACCCTACTTCCCTATCTATATTAGTTAGTGGTTTTAGGAATTACTTTTGATTAGGTGATACGACTTTAGCCTGTCAAAATTTGGCGTCGTTGCCGGGGAAACGACTTTATTTTTATTTCTGATTATTTTTGTAGTCTAGATTATTTTCTTTAGTCTCAGAGAACGCAAGTTCTTTGGGACAGTTTCTCATACTTGTTTGTTTAGTTCTTTGTTTATGCTCAAGAGTTCTAGATCAGGTTACATCCCATTCGATCCTGAATTCGAACATTCTTTTCATAAGCAGAAGAATCTTTTTAGACAGGTACGAGCTACTTCCGAGGGTATTACACCTTTGGAACCCCCATCTGATTCTAGTGATACAGAAGTTTCTTTAGAACTAGAATCAGAGATGACGGCTCAACCACCTCGTAAGCTCAGCAATTATTCGCAGCCGTCCCCGGAAGATTTTCCACACCTTGCCCTTGCACCAACTCTCGAGGGAGTACAATTCGAGATTAAACCCCAGTTTATCACTATGATCGAAAGGAAGCAATTTAGCGGAGCTAAGGGTGAAGATCCAAATCTTCACATCTTGGACTTTTGCCAATATTACAACACCATTAGACGAGCTGGGGTCACGCAGGACCAAATCAGGGAGATTCTTTTTCCCTTTTATTTATGTGGTAAAGATAAATTATGGTACAATGGACTGAATAGAACTGCACTTGGTATTACTGACTGGGAAACTCTTGTTTTGAATTTCTATAACAAATATTACCCTGCAGAGAGAACAACTTTGTTAAGGAGTAAGATCCTAAATTTTTCCCAAGAAGTAGATGAATCTTTATATGAAGCTTGGGAACGATTTAAGGATTTGCAGAGAGAGTGCCCTTATCGTGGGCTAGCACAATGGCAGATAATCCAAGCCTTCTAAAACGGGGTTGGATATAATTCAAGAATAATTTTGGACTCTGCAGCTAACGGAAGATTTATGAATTTGGATGTTAATATAGCGAGCAATGTTGTTGAAGAGATGGCTATTCATAATTCCCAATATGGGAATCCCAGAGGATTTGAAAATAAAGGAAAACACCAAGTCGATTCTATCCTTTTTGCAAGCACAATTGGCTGCTATTAGCCAGAAACTAGACAATATTAATAATTCTAATTCATCTTCCGTTGCTAATGTTTCTGCTATTGGTACTAAGTCTGCAATATATTGTGAAAATTGTGGTCTTGTAGGTCATTGGGCTCAAGAATGCACTAGTTCGCTTGAGAAGATTAATGTTTTTCAAGCCTATAAACAAACTAGTCCATACTCTAACATCTACAATGCAGGGTTCAGAAATAACCAAAATATGTCGTACAATAGTATGAATGCGCCTAACCCCCCACCACAGGCACAACAACCACAGCAGAGGTACTATCAACCTCCACATCAAATACCACAACAGACTATTGCTCCTCCTTCTGATTCTGGCTTATCAGAAATCAGAACGATGTTAATTGATATGCAGAAACAGATGCAGAGTAGGGATGCGCAAATTGATTCGATTCTAACTCATAATAAAATCATGGACAATCAAATTGCGCAACTTTCCTCTGCTCTACAAACTCGCCAGCAGGGAGCCCTACCATCGCAGCCAGTACAACCTATAGATCACGTGAATGCAATTACCCTGAGAAGTTGTTCAAAATTCGATGGGCCTTCTATGCCCAAAGATAATGAACCTATCATTACAAATATTCCTAATCCTGATTCTGTTATACCAAATATTGTTGTTACTAGCCCTGTAGGGCTCTAGGGTAAAACTAACCTTTTTGAAGATACATTGCAGGATATAACTCCAAAGAAGGATAAAAATCAAGACAAGAGTGGAGATGTACAGAAACCAGTTATCAAACTACTATTTCCTAATAGACATCTTAAGAGTAAGCTAGATAAGCAGTTCGGTAAGTTTCTGGAGGTTGTCAAGAATTTGCAGGTAACGATTCCTTTCACAGAATCAATTACTCAAGTTCCTGCATATTCTAAATTTATGAAAGAAATCTTGACCATAAAGAGATCTATTAGTGAGGTAGAGACAATTGCTTTTACTGAAGAATGTAGTGCTATATTACAGAATAAATCTCCACCTAAACTAAAAGATCCGGGTATTTTTTCTATTCCTTGTCACATTGGCAATCTGATGATTGATAAAGCTTTATGTGATTTGGGTGCTAGTGTAAGTGTTATGCCATTATTTGTGACTAAATTGAATATGAGTAATTTAAAAGCTACCAATATTACTCTACAAATGGCTGATCGTTCTCTTAAATATCCTATAGGTGTTTTAGAAGATGTTCCTGTTAGAGTAGGTAAATTTTATATACTGTTGATTTTGTTGTCCTTGATATGGAGGAAGATTTGCAAATTCAGATTATTTTGGGTAGACCATTCCTTCATATTGTAGGGGTAATTATAGATGGGAAGAGTGGTAAACTTATATTATGTGTAGGGGATGAAAATATTATTTTTAATCTACATGATGCCCCTAAAAGCCCCATGTTGGAAGAAAAGTGCTATAGTATTGATGTGGTTGATGTTGGAAGAAAAGTGCTATAGTATTGATGTGGTTGATGTAAATAATTTTTCTAATAAGCCCCAAGCTCTCGTTAGAGATCCCTCGGAAGCGGTATTTTGTGTCACATCTTCCACAGGAAAAACCACTACATGGAAGGATGAAGTGGATGCTATAGAAAGGGCTCTAAATTTTGTAGGGCTTGGGTTTTAAGATGAACAAGTGGAGAAAAAGGAGCAACTTGAAGAAAATCGGACTCCAAGTGTTGTAGCGCGCCCGACCGGGCGCGGGAGGAAGTCCTTATACTAGCAATTTCACCCGACCGGGCGCGAGAGAAAAGAGGATTTTTATTCAAAAATTTACCCGACCGGGCGAACATCCGCCCGACCGGGCACAAGAACAAAGGTCGAAAAAAGAGTTAAACTCGCCCGACCGGGTGCGTGAGCGATACAGCAAAACGGGCCAACTTCAAGACGCCATAACTTTTGCGTCTAAACGAAATTTTGCGTTTCTTAACGAAATTTTGCGTGTGACCTATAGTTGGAAAGCTCTTCAAGTATACTTTCCAATGCAATTGGAATCACTGCATTATCATTTGTATAAAAAAAGTTATGATCAAAATAGTGAGCCTGACTCATTTTTACCTCTTTTCCTACTAACATTTTGTTTCTTTCTTGTCCAGAATTGTACCAAGGTGATGTATTGCAATGCTTGGGATGGTGGTGGATACGAGTTTGATGATGACGGGTAGTCGCCTGGGTTACTTTCTTCCCTTTGAGCCAATGAGGATATTGTCTGGTTTGGCTTGGGGGGAATTTCTTGTATATATAGGTTTTCTTCCTTTCCTTTTTCTTTATATTTTCTTTGGTGTGCTTAGTTTAGTTTAGTTTTTTTTTTTTATTTTATATTATTGCTTTATAGTTTAGATTTTATTTTTCTTTCTAAAAATAAAAAAAAATTACAAAAATACAATCCAATGAATGATAAATCATGCTTCCCTGTGCCCCATACATGAAAATTGTTTTGATTCTTGGTATATAATGATGAGTATTGTGGATAGATTAGCCATGATTTGATGTTTGATTACTTGGATTCCCTAGCATGCGTCAATTTTGTCCAACTATTTGTGGATTTGGTGCTTGGTTAGTTGATTTGGTTAGGAATGTGTGTTAGTTCCTGGTATGTCAATGAAGTTGAGTATTGGTTTATAACTTTGAGTAATGTTTGTATGACTCATTATTATGCACATTGAGGAGGACAAAGGCATTTGTTCTTTTAGGTGGCCTTCAGATGATTTTAGATACATTTGTTCCCTTCTTGTTTCCCATGTTGTTGCTTGTGCCCTTTTATTGTCTATGTAGCCACATTACAAGCCTATTTTGGCCCCATTGGTTACTAGTCCCAAGCTTGGCTTGGGGGAGCTAATAGTGAGTGAGGTGAGGGAGTTGTAGTGTGCACATAATTTGCACAATTTTGGGTGGATTTGAGAAGTTTTTATTTGTTCTTATTTTTGTGGATTGGAAAAAATAGAAAAATTATTGTTCAAAGAAAAAAATTCCAATGTGAGATAAAAAGAAAAAAAAGAGCAAAAGAAAAAAAAATTGTTTAATTATTCAAATGTTCTAATTGAAGGTTGCTCAAAAGAAAGAAAAGAAAGAGGGAAAAAAAATAAGAGTTCAAAGATTGTTTATTCACTCTATTTCCTTATTGTAATATTTTATGAGTGAAATTGTAAATGTTGGGAATTTTTAATATAATTGGATGTTTGGTGAATTTTTGGTGGAGTTGAGTTGTGTTAGAGATGATTTGGTCATTATTTAATTTTGATCTTGGTTTTATTTATTAGGATTTGGCTCCCTTAAGCATGGCTTTACTCTCACATTTCCCTAATATTTCCTACCATTTACCTAAGCCTTACATTACAAGCTTAAAGACCTTCTGACCTTTGTGCATAGAGTTGTATGGATGTGAAATTAGTTGTTTTCCAATGCAAAGAATGATTTGATATATTTCGAGTTGACTGCTAGGTTGAGTGCTTGTTTTCTTAAACACACGAGTGTTGTGAGTTTGGGAGGGCATTGTTCACATTTAAAGGGGTTGGATGGAGAGCGATCGAGTACATCTTTTACTCGCCACATAAAAGAGCGAAGAGTGCGTGAGCACCAGTCTTGAATTCCATATACACTTGTGGTTCGCTCTACTTGACAATTGTTAGGGAGGATGAGTAGTTGGATGGATTTGATTGGTTAACTTTGATGCATATTTGTTGGATTTGCCTTGAATTAATTGTGCTTGATTTAAATTATTTTTGGGGTGAAGTTTTGGTTTATTTATTCATTGCTTTGCTTAGGGACAAGCAAAGGTTTGGCTTGGGGGAGTTTGATAAGTCTATTATATATATATATATATATATATATATATATATATATATATTTATTCCCCGTCCCAATGGTCATAATTGTGTTTATTTGAGCTCTACGAAGCTACTTTTGTTACTAATATGCGTTTTCTAGTATTTTCGTAGATTTGGTATTGTTTTATAGGAAATTGCGGATTTGGAGCATTTTCCCGGATTTATTAGAGCCGCTACGAGCATTGGAGAAGGTCGCATTCATATGACCACATTTCGAAGCCCAGGACCGGTTGGAGTCATCAAATCGGTGATTAAGGGCTCGGCGAAGAAGAAGAGTCCGGGGCAATGGACCATATATTCAGAACCCAAAGAGGAAATGCGAATTGGGCTAAGAAACGGCCCAATTGAAGAAGTCCAAGTTTGCCCGGGAGCTCGCCCGGCAGGGTGAGATGGCGCCCGACTGAGCGCGTGTTTCTGAGTTCGTTTAGCACTTTTAATCTTCTTTTAGCTTAGGTTTTCTTAGTTTAATATAAATACGCTTTTGTTAAGCGAGTTTGGGACCTTCTTTTCTCTCTCTCTACTTTTCTCATTAGTTTAATATCTTAGTTTTTAGTTTTAAGCTTTTAGTTAATACTCTTGATCCCTCTCGACACTTTTAGTTTATGCAATTCTTTACTTCTGTCTATTTTGATAACGATTTCTTCCCTCTTTACTTTCAGTAATTTAATTGCTTTGATTTAATTATGCTTTCTTTAATTGCCTTGCTTAGTTTAGATTTAAATATGTGCGAGTAGTTTTATTTCTAGGGTTGTGGGGATCCATAATTAATATGACGGGGTTTCTTTATTGTTGTTGATTGTCAATGTTTTGGTTGATTTCCTATTGATTGATTTAATGTTATGCAATTAGATTTGCGCAGGTTAAATTGTATGAGTTATGCAATATTGATTCGAGATTTGAGAGATGAGAATTAATGTTTAGGCTTAGTTTCAATAGGCAGATTAATTTATAAATGGTTAAGTCAAGATTCGAGAGATGCGATTTAATACCAGTAGATTAATTCTGTGATCGTAATACGTAGAGAACGCCCTTTATGATCTGATTAATCTATGCATTGATGATTGATTATTATGTTTTACCCTGGAATATTATTTATTGGTGAACCTATACCCTAGGCCTTTTATTATTGTTTTCCTCCCTTATTTAATTTGCTTCAGTTTAGTTATTAGTTTAATTCTCACAAAAACAATTTGGTTACTTGATAATTTAGATTATATTAATTAATTAGAAATAGAAAGACCTGTTTTTCTATGGATTCGACCCTACTTCCCTATCTATATTAGTTAGTGGTTTTAGGAATTACTTTTGATTAGGTGATACGACTTTAGCTTGTCAAATGTAGGGAGTTTATCCAAAACATGTTTTGTGCCTTGAGTTATATTTGTGACTTGAAGGAATCCATTATTTTCTTCATTGATTGTCTAATATGATAACCATTGTTGCGAATATCCTTAAAACTTAATAAATTTCTTTGAGAAAATGGGGAGTATAATGCATGATGCATTTTAATTTCAGTTCCCCAAGGCAATTTTATGTTGGCTCTTCTGGAGCCTTCAATGATATTTATACTACCCGATATGGTACTCACATTCAGGGGTCGTTTGGTTCGCAGAGGGGAATCGGAATGGAATGCAGAATGGGAATGGAGGAGAATGGAATGAAACCCTAAAAATTAAGCATGTTGTTTGTTTACAAAAAAGAATGGTAATCACACCACCATTGCACTACCACATCACCACCACAACACCTATCCTTCATTTTTTTTCCACCTTCTCCAGCCACCCCACCGCCCAACCAACAGCCACCCCCAAGAACCCAGATCTCCACGAACCCAAATCCAAACCCACGCCACCCCTAAGAACCACCAAGACAGTTGAATAGTACAATGCCCAAATCCAAACTGAAGAGTACAATGCCCCACAATTTCTTGTTGCCTTCTTCCTTATTGTGAAATTCGTCATCTTCTGCCATGTTCGAGCATGTCAATGTTGAAAAAACTTAAGGACTCCAAGTAATTGATGAGAATTTAATCGAAAACCCTGATCGCATGCTTTTTGTTCTCACATCTCGGATGGTGGGTGCGGTGATTTGTAAGTTTCAGCGAAGGCCGACGAAGGGCGGCGAGGGTTGGGCGAAGGGCGGCGAGGGTTCGGCGAGGTGAAGTGAGTTCCGGCGAGGTGGATCTAGTTGATAAGGTATGGTGGTGGACTGGTGGTTGGGGAATGGGAATGCAAAAGGTAAGGGGGGTGGGGAATGGATTTAGGAGATTTTTGGGTAAACCCAAAAGTAAAATGGGGGAATGAGAATGACAAATAAATGAAAACAAACACTAACAAAGGGAATCATTCCCATTCCCTTTCCCCATTCCAGTGAACCAAACGGCCCCTAATCCTTTTCATCATCAAATAAGAAAAATAGTTTTTATTTGTAAGTATTGTATGAGTAGTTGCGGCACTATCAGCAAGACATAATTCTTCACCATTCATAGCAAATTGAACTTGAGTAGTATCCATATTCTTCATGAAATAAAATACATGTCAAAACATTTAGCATAAAATTAATAATGATAAAATAAATAAATCAATAAAAAAAAACCATATAGTTCATAAAGCATATAAAGTCTTTATTACAACCATAAAAATTAACATAAGTAAATCACTAGATTAAGTCTAATACTTAAAGATATTAATATAAATTTAATTATTCCCTTCTGGGGAAGTGAAGAAAACTTCTTGATGAGCTGCATTGCTAGAATCAAAATCACCTCACCATCTTCAAGAACAAGGTTTGCCTCAACTTTCTTTCCTTTCTTCAATGATTCTTGGTAAAGTTCAACAAGGTGTTTTGGAGTTCTACACACCCGATACCAATGACCTTTTACTCCACAACAGTAACATATATTGGTCTCACTTTTCTCTTTCTCAATTTTTCATCCCTACGTTCCCAATTCTAGCGGGAATGTGAGTTTGTGAAATGACCTCCACGACCTCTACCATATCCACTAAATCCATGCCCAGACCGTGACCGCGTCATTGGCCACGAATGCGACCGCGACCTTTACCTCGACCACTACTGCTGGAATGGTCTTTGTTTTTAGTTTCTTTCCCATTATGGGTTGTCACATTCGCTTCAAGGAATGGAGTAGAGCCAGTAGGACGGGATTCATGATTTTTCATTAACAACTCGTTATTTTCTTAAGCTACAAGAAGACATGATATTAATTCAGAATATTTTTGAAAACCTTTTTTTTTCTATATTGTGCCTGTAGGACAATATTATTTGCATGGAAAGTGAAGTATGTCTTTTCAAGCATTTCTGCATCAGTAATATTTTCTCCACATAATTTCAATTGAGAAGTTATTTTGAACATAGCTAAGTTATATTCACTAACAGACTTATTAAAATCTTGCAATCTCAAATTCAACTAATCATAACGAGCACTAGGGAGTATCACTGTTTTTTGGTGGTCATACCTTTCCTTTAGATTACTCCAAAAAATTTGTTGGTCTTTCACAGTTAAATATATTTTTGAACCCTTCATGGAGGTGATGGCGAAGAAAAATTATAGCTTTAGCCTTATCTTGACGTGTTGCCTCATTAGCCTCTTTGATTGTTTCACCAAGCCCTTTAGCATCTAGGTGTATTTCAGCATCTAAAACTCATGACAAATAATTCTTTCCACTAATATCGATCAAGGGCCACGAATTGTATTCAAGTTTGGCAAGGTTCGACATTTTCACTATATATATATAAAATAATATTCAAAATTAGAGCTTATAAAAGAAACATACTTTATAGTTGTTTGGTATTAAAAAGGGTTTATAAACTTTCACAAAACAAATGACTTATGCAAGAATAAATTTAGATAAAATATTCATATATCATATTCTATGACCCAGAAAATTTCAATTAATCATAATACTCGTATAATTGAAATTTAAATATTTCATGCTCACTTAAACTGATAAAATTCATATTTATCAAGATTATAATCTATTTATTATATAATGATGGTATATCATTACATACTACATACTCCAATAATTATCGTGACAGTGTTATACTACATCTAAACTTAATGCATCAATATCTAACCATTATCAAGATACATATGATCAAAGACATGCATGTATACGGCGGCATATATTTTTTCTATGTCAAAACAATCTATTGGAATAAAATAGCTTAATCAATACAAAGTGAAAGTAATTACAATTACCTCATCTGGACGAAAAATTATTTGGTACGAAATATACATTCCATCAACTCGGTTAATTAAGGTTGGTGCAAAAAGCCAGCAATATGATCCTCCTTCTTATGTTGTTTGATTAATGTTTCCTTCAATTCCCGATAACGATGGTGCTGATAACGTGTTATAAAATAAAGAATAAAGGAAGAGAGAATATTGGAGAAAGATATAGATTGTAATGTGTTGTTCTTCCATTTCATTAGCCCATGTCATATATATACATTATGTAACCTATGTATGGACAATAAAGAGTCCATTCATGTTAAGGTTACAATGTGGATTAAAGGTATATGGGGATTATAAGGAGGTTACAAAAGAGTCATAATATTGAGGGAGTTACAAGTCATAATGGGCACACACAATTATATTTTTTTTGTAACAAACAATCAATTGAGAATATCAATTGAATAATTATACTAACACCTTCATAATGCACCATCAATTAGGGGGGTTACAAAAGTTGTTTTAAACAACTCATAATAAGAAAGAAATGATCCCAAGGGAATCTTCGTTAAGGATTTTAAAGCCATTAATCCTATACCGTTAACTTTGTACACATGTCATGTACTAGTTTGACTATATTTTTCACCCCAAAAAAAGTTTGACTATATTTTATATAATTAAATTAAATATAATGAAAATTATTTTAAAAATTATATTATGAAACTTTATATTAATACCTATCAAACAACATATTTTATGATAAAATATGTTTTTATTACTTCGTATGTTTAAAAAAAATTATGATAAAAGCTAATACATGAATACTGAAAAAAGTCTAACAACCCAAATATATTGGGACGGAGGGAGTAAGGATTTATCCAATTATCCCAAATGGGAAATTTTATGGGGCTGCCAAGGTTACTCTCCGAGATTGACGTCCTTGTTAATCTTGATGGCATTCCTGTAAATATTTGGACTTGGTACCTTGCCGCGTAAGCTTCTCTCCAATAAAAAATAGCTTTTATCCCGTTAGAGACAGCGTTAACTCTTTTAATCTCCACGAGTGGATGCGCATCAACGGTTCCACTCTTCTCCAGCTAAGGTTTTTCATCGGCATTTTAGCTATGCTCCTCACAGCAGTTGTCGATTGTTAAGGGCTGAGCTTGTGTGTTGGAGATCTGCAAATAAAGTTCATTTCTCGATTTTGTCCTGTTTATTCATTTTTGGGTATTTTCGATTGAATTTTAGTTATCTTGAATGTTTAATTCCTTAGTTTGAATTGCTTGTAGTAGGAATATTATCTTGTTTGTTTAATTCGTTAGTTATAAGTTTGTCGAAGAATACAAACAGAACAAAATATGCGATTTTGACAAAATGACAGAGAAATTCATGTTCACATCTCACATACCTTCAACAATGAACGAACATCACCATTAACGGCCTTCAAAGACGAATCATCAACGATTCAGGAGGTCTGAGCTTTAGGGTTTCGTGTCGTGGCAAAGAGGGTTTCAAGCTCCACCAAGGTCCAGACCCCAGACGCAGCTAACAGGGAAGATAAACGTCTGTTTGAATCGCTCTTAAAAACATTATTTACCCAATACCGAAAATACCCTTATTAATTTGCCTATATTAATTAGACAATTTTTAAGTCGTAGCAATGTAGCATTTGGAAATGTAATTTAATTTCAACATCTTCATCTTTGCAGTATGCCGAGAGGGGTTTTCGTGGGGTTTATCTTTCTCTCTTCCCCTTTTCAAAGGTATGTCAATCAAATTTCCCGTACTACCGCTTTTTTCCTTCGGGTTTTTTTTATGTTGATTTTCTTGTTTAGAATTTTTTTTCGGAATTCGAACTTTGTAAATATCGATCATACATTCATACCAAATGATTTGCGTCAATTACGTGAAATCTGATTGATTACACACTGTAAAATTATATTCCTGCAATTTCCTGAATTTTTTTAGGGGATTGTTAATAAATTCTCATTCTTTTCCTGATATTCAATTATTCATAACTGAATTTGCATAGTTAACATACCTACTTATTCTGATTTTAATTAAGTAAAAGCTCTTTGATTTAGTGGGCATATGATCTGTGTAATTGGGTTTGATTTTTCTGATTAAGATCTTATTACGCTGGTGGATTTTTAGTGTTTAGGCCTTTTCTGTATTCTTAATTGTTGGATAAAGTGGAAACCTTCAAAATTTAGTGGTGGTGGTGGTTGGGTTGGGGGGGGGGGGCGGGGGAAGGTATCTGTGTGGGGGGGGGGGAGAGAGGGAGATGTTAAGATTAGGTCGTTTTCGATAAAGGCCGAAGGGCCGGGAAAAGAGTCGCTTGGTCAGGCTTGATTATCAGTGTTGTAAAAAAATGTTTAGGAATTATCTGAAAAATTATACTTCTGACTTGGAATTTCTGCAATTGTGACTTTGAACTAGTGTAGTTTTGTTAGCTACCTGATTAAGATACATTCTGTAAGAAAAATCTCTTTACTTATCTTCTCAGTTTTTCATCTCATGATTTTGAGCTGGATTTAAATGCAAGGCATTCAGGTGTTTGGTATTTGATGATAATCTTATTTAGGCTTTAAATGTAACATTCGGTTAAAAAAGCTATTTTAAGCAGGATGGAGTTTTGCTAACAGAGGAAATTGTTTTGGATTTTGTATAGCTTAGATGGATTTAGTACTTGTGTCGTGTCGTCTAATCATATTGGTTTTGAAGAAAGGCTTTCCAGAAGTTTATTTATCTCTCTTTCCTGTAGAATTTAACCTTTTTATGAATTATAATTTTAAGGAAAATTCTCTATTGTGACCCTGTAGTATACCATTTTTTTCAAAATGACCCTAACTTATACAACATTCTTCAAAATGACCCTAAACTTTGAAAAGGTAAAAAAATAGATGGAAAGGTACGTTGATAGTTCATAAATCCGTTACTTTGTACGGTAATAGCTAATCGCTAATTAAATAAACCCATTCATTTCTTCTTTTACAAAGACAACCATCATTTTACTCTCACTGACATCCATCCCTTTTAACAAAGATCTAACATTTCAACAACAACAACAACCAAGCCTTAGTCCTAAAATGATTTGGGCTCGGCTAACATGAATCGTCATAAGAAACCGTACGATATAAAGAAAATGGCATAACAAGATAATCATTTGAAAGAGTTTGAAAAAAGGTGAGTAAGGTGAGAAACAGAAAGAGCATCCAAGAAAGATTAAGGGAGTTTTAGAATAGATCTAACCTTTCATTTGAACAAATAATCTAAAGCAATAAATTATAAATCCTTTCATTCACAATCCATTTTATATTGAAATTATGCAATGAACACCTATTAAACATCAACGTTAGCATATAATATAAGTTCATCAAAAAAAATAGCTGCACATTTTACCATTGAACGTCAACCCAATGTTAATCCCATGCAACAATTGCAGTAGAATGTTTTGAGATATATACATAATATATTCATTCTCAAAAGGTATATAGCTTTGTTCAAAGACAAAGAACAATATCTAGTGTGTGGAAGTTTCTTCAATAGGCGCATACTTCAACTGTTTCTTTGGTTTTCTACCCCCTTTATGAACTCTAGTAGATGCTTGGTCATCAGCAACAGATGCTTCCTTCCTCTTCCTGTTTTGAGCTGAAGTGCCACGAACATTTTTCTTCTACTTTGCAGTGAGTCCCCCCATGCAAGCTCTTATGTTGTGGCAAATTCATTACATTTATAGAATTTAATGGTCACAGCTCTTGTTCCCTTCTTTTGTTCTCCTTTCTCTCTCCTCCTATTTCTTGGAGGTTTACCTGTTGCTCTTCTAATAGGCGGAGGCAAAATGTTCGGACACATCCATTTCCGGCCAATGGGTTGGGTCAGTCATAGCCTCATAGGGGGTATGTTCATGTCATAAAATGCTTTATAAGCTGCACTTGAGTCAATCTGAGAACAATATAATAAGGGGTCCTCCCTATTTTGATGTATAATCATTATTGCATGACTGCAAGGGAAACCTGAAATCTGAAATCTTCCACATAAACAAGCTCTTTGTTTTAAATCAACCGAGAACACAACATGATTTTCTTTCTACCTGAGATATGCCAAGTTATTTGTGTATGGCATTTATGGTTTAATTTGTTTCTGTTGCTATTAGATCAGAATTTCAGGTTTCTTAGCCTCTAGGATTTTTGTTGCCATTGCCCATGGTTAATAGATCTTGCTACCTTAAATATGTAACAACATTTCCCACGCCCTGAACAATTGCTTCTGCCTTGCTACCTGAGATACATGGCAATAAAATTTCCCTTCACTACATATAAGAAGTACAGGGAGATTATTTAACCAACTTGGTTTTGTTTATTGTATACCACAAGTCAAGTATCAAGGACCTTTGACACTATTGGAAAGGGACGAACCACTTAAGACACATTGATTTCTCGAGTTTGTTGAAGTCTTGATATGTCCAGTAGTTATTGAATTCTGACATGTAAGCTTTTGCCAATTCTGTCTTAAATCTAGAAGTTCTTTTCATGCCACCTAACTTTTGGAGCAAGGGAGCTTTTTGCATTTTGATGATGGATTTGAACCTGAAAGGCTTAGGTACTATGGTAGAGCAAGAAGCCCTTCTGCTGACAAACCTTGTGTTAATGTGGTATTGGGGACGTCTATATTGATTTTTCTTTACATATTTGATAGGGAGTCCACATAAAAGAGCACTTATTAGAAATCTTTTGAATTGTCTTTATTAAAGTATATAGATGTTCTGCCACTTCAAAATTGTCCCCCAACTCTAAAGAAAAAGTTGATAGCAAAAGGAGTGAAAAGGCAGAGGCATAAACTAAGCTTTATGTCTCCAACACTTCAAAAAATTCAACCTCTCTTAGTCACCTATTATTGGTGACACTCTTTCTTGTAGAATTTTTTTGGTCTGAGTTGGGTGAGCATAAGGGAAATCAAATGCATTCTTTTGGCGTAAAGTGAAGAGAGGGTTAAGTCTCATGAATTCATGATATGGTGGTTTCCTGGAACATTACTTGTGGATAATGCCACTGTTGAACCTGATCAAATAAGCATTGACTTATCAGATGTGAGTTTGGGCCTCAAATGAATGCCCTTGTTGACACATATGTTTCCTGCTATAACCATTCAAAACTTTTTCTTACAGTTTGCTGCTCTTTTTCTTGTCCATGTACAAAGTTGGAATTCAAAATAGCATAGTTTTGGGAGGAAATAAGGAATATTAGGCAAGTTACTAGCCTTTTTCAATTCCTTCCTCTTGTCTTTATCATCTCCTTACATAGATGCTCTGATTTTTTAATCTTGTTTAGAGGGTACTGACGTACAGTTCGTTGTAGTATTTGCATGTTTGGCTGAACCCTTTAGATTAAGGGTTGGATGAACTTACAAATTAGCTGTGTTTATTAGAGATGCACCTCTTTTGGGGTCTTTGGATAAGAGAAATTGGTTAAATAATAAAGGTTCTTCCTCATGTAGCTTTTTTTTTAAGCGCTTGAAGACCACTCCATCTGCTTCCTTTATCCTCCACTCTCTGGTTAACTTAATAAAGTTAAGTCCCATAGGTAATTATGGCATTGATGTGGACTACATGTAGGATAGGCTGAGCATTGAAGATAACATTTATAACAGAAACCACTTATGTGCTTGACCCTAATCTTGTGTCTTTGTTGTGTGGAATTTTGGAGCCAAATGTTCATGCATTGTGGACTAGTTCTGTTTTATGTGGAATTGGAATAAGTTATATACAGTTTTGGAGATTAGACAGGTTTTTTCTTATAGACTTTTTTTGGAGCATTTGCAGGTTAACGATGTTTTTGGTGGGCGTAAGGGATTAGAAATCAGCTGGCATGGCCATCCCTGAGTGACGTGGATGGAAAGATGGGACTGAAATAAAGTAAGCAAATTTTCTCATTGGGAAGTTGGTGGGGTAGATTTGTTTTTCTTGCTTCTTTACAGTGGTGTTCTATGCTTGTATTTCCAGGTTAAATTTTAATAGATATTTTTAATGTGATAGGCATGCATTGTCATTTTGTTGGGCTTTATGTTCACTCTTGATCCTTTTTAGATGTACGTTCTTTGTTGTGAAAAAGTATTCCTTTTTATCTAAATAATATGTTATAGATCTTGTTTAATCCCTTAATCAAGGAAGGAAAGTAAATGATTTGAATTTGAGAAAGAAACGATGAAGCCTGTACAGTTAAAAACACAGTTAAAACACCTGATTGTTTTAAGTCTCTAAAGTGTCCCATTTTATCTCACCTGTGTTGAAATTCTTCTGTTTGTCAACCTACTACGACAACCAAATAAGCTTGATCTACTAGGTCTTCGGGATATATCCAACATGTTTTGCACCAAGTAAATCAGCTTAGTTTTTAATACATAAAATCTCTCTACATGTCAATTATGAGTGGATTTCTTATGCTGGTGGGAATGGAAATTTGGATATATTTGTTATTGTACCTGTAGATTAGCAATGAAACCAGCAAATAATATTTGGATTCAAAAGGAGCAATGCCCCTGTGGAGACTGGAAGTGTTTTATCAAATATGAAGGGGAGGAACAAGGTCAAGCTTGTCAACCAACAAAAAATGGGACATCATTATCATCTTCTTCTGAAGTTGTCTTTGCACCTTATGTGGGTCAGATTTTTAAAAGTGATGACGAAGCTTTCGAGTACTACATTAACTTTGCTCGAAGGAATGGGTTTTCAATCAGGAAAGCACGATCTACTGAAAGCCATAATCTTGGTGTTTACAGAAGGGATTTTGTTTGTTATCGTTCCGGATTCAATCAACCTAGGAAAAAAGTTAATGTAGAGCATCCCAGAGACCGCAAATCAGTACGCTGTGGATGTGATGCAAAATTATACTTGACTAAGGAAATCGTGAATTGTGTTACACAGTGGTATGTTTCCCAATTCAGTAATGTACATAACCATGAATTGCTAGAAGATGATCAAGTGCGTTTGCTTCCTGCATACCGGAAAATACAAGAAGCTGATCAAGAACGGATTATTTTACTCTCCAAAGCTGGGTTTCCTGTTAATAGGATAATCAAGATCTTGGAACTGGAAAAGGGTGTTCAACCTGGGCAACTGCCTTTCATAGAGAAAGACATTAGAAACTTTCTCCGTAATTGCAAGAAAACAGTTCAAGAAAATGATGCTCTTCTTACTGAGAAAAGGATAACTGATATGATGGAGCTGCTTGAAGCTTGCAAGGCCATGGCAGAAAGGGATGAGGATTTTATCTTTGATTTTTTAACAGATGCAAATGGCAAAGTCGAAAACATAGCATGGTCATATGGCGACTCTGTTCGTGCCTTTAACCTTTTTGGTGATGCTGTTCAATTCGACATTACTTATCAATCCATCACTTACGGGATGCTTCTGGGTTTATTGTCTGGTATAGATAATCATGGCAAGCCAATTGTCTTTGCCTGTGCTCTTGTCCAGGAAGAAAATCCCCATGCAATTGTGTGGGCCTTACAGGTTAACTTTATCTCTCTTTCTTTATACTTAAACTTCTTTTTTTTTCCTGTCATTAAAGCTTTATTTCTTCAAACAGACAGTTGTGCGATTCATGCGAGGGAGACCGCAGACGATAGTGACTGATCTAGAGCCAGGGTTAAGAGACTCCATAGTAAGCGAAATGCCTAATACTAAACATGTTATATCTTTGTGGTACATCATGTCTAAGCTGAGTAGTTGGTTCTCTTTGCCTCTTGGACTGAAATATTCGGAGTTTAAGTCCGAGTTTGAAATGGTGTGCTATGTGGAAAGTACAGAGGATTTTGGACATCTCTGGAGTCATTTGATCACAAAATTTGGACTTGGGTCGGATAAACACATCTCTCTTTTATGGTCATGTCGAGCATGCTGGGCTTTTTCATTTATTAAGGACTGCTTTGTCGCCCGAATCACAACAGCTGAATACATGAGATCCGTTGATAGTTTCCTGAAAGGCGTCTTGAATGAGCAAACATGCTTGCAAGTCTTCTTTGAGCAGGTATTCTTGTTATGATGCATGATTACATCTAATTGTCTGTTGCTTAAATCTGTAAGCTTTAGCATTCTTGTTTTGCAGGTTGGACTTGCTGCAAAGTTGGGTTATGGAGCCAAGGAGGATTTACCTTTTGTACATCTCAAGACGTGCATGCCTGTTGAGGAACATGCACAAGGCATCCTTACTCCATATGCCTTTAGTGTGTATCAGCATGAACTCGTGTTGTCTGTGCAATATGCAATCATAGAAATGGCCAAAGGATCCTATGTCGCGCGCCATTATAAGAAAGTTGAAGAAGAGTATCTTCTATTATGGATTCATGAAGGTGAGCAAATCCACTGCTCGTGTAAGGGATTTGAACAGTCAGGAGTCCTGTGCAGGCATGCTCTTCGACTATTTGTTACTAAGAATTATTTTCAACTTCCATACCATTATTTTCCAATTAGGTGGAGATGGGAAAATTCTTTTTTACCTATGGATCAGGAAAGTTCTCGACTGGTCAAAGAAGAGTACTATCGTGCCTTACATTCTCTTACAGATACTCTTCTGACCGAGTCATTGGTTTCTAAGGAGCGGTTTAACTATGCCCATAAGGAACTCACAGCACTCCTTGATCAAATTAAAAATATGCATGTTGATGAAGTTCCAGAAATATTAACTAACAATTTTAGTGAATCTTAAATTTTCTCAATATGCCTAATTGTTGCGGATCAGCTGTCTACAATAGCAATTGCTGTGTCTAGCCATGGTTTACAAGACATTAGAAGATTACAAAAATAAGTCAATGTAGACTACTTTGCAAATTAAATTGTGGTTGGAATACGGGTTCAAGTAAATAGAATTGTCAGATATGGAGCTATGGTGTTGCGTTGTCTTCCATGACTTTTGTGATGGTGTAATGTGAATTCTTATAAAGGAACGTACAGGAGAAAAAAACTGCTGTTTCTGTACAATGCATGTTATGTTACTGATTCTTAATCTTTGAGAAATGATTATATGTAGTTCTAGATCTTGTATTAGTTAGTTACTCTCATTGTAATTGAAATTGGTGGATAGTAATGTACTTGTACATCGTGGAATCTCTTTGCTACAAGGATCTAATGAATCAGTCTTTGTCAAAAATGATTCAGAATAAAGTCTTCTGTTTGTCTATTTTCTTTCTATTTCAGAACCTTTTTGACGTTGTTGCAGAATATGTATCAAATAGGCTGGTTCGGGTCAATCAATTCAATTTTTGGGGTTTGAACTTTGAAGTGTATATTTGTTTTCAATCAGTTTTTAGTGGGAAATCCATATCTGCAATTTATAATAAGGGGACTTGGGTTGGGTGGGGATTTTGGGTTGTGCAATTCTATGTTTTTAGGGGGCTGGGATTAGTATGTGTTAGTCAAATTTCAAATCTATTTGTAAAAAAAATTGTTCATGGGCTCTCAAGAATGGATAACTATCGTCGCATAGGACCTATTGGCAAAGAGCATATAGGATGGCATTCTTTGTAAATAGGTTGAAGTTGTGTGGGGACAAGGTGCCAGCTGGTAGAAAAAAATAATGGGGCAAAGATAGTGAAAATAAGGAAACCAAAATCTAAGCGGGAAACCAAAATTAAGTCTGACAAAGCAACTTTCCTCTTTCATTCCTCTTTCTTCCCAAAGCAAAGTGTTACTGTTCAATGGCGAATGGAGCGAAATTAAATTGAAGGCATTGAAATCCTTTCCCAGGCGCACTAAAGCCACTCAAATGTCGTAAATTTGACATTGGAAATTGAGGATGAGAATGAGGTTAGCTGACATTCTTGGCGTGGATTTAGCTGAAGCACTTGGTGAAGGTGGAGAAGACGGACATGGCTGCGCTAGGGAGCTGCGATTTGATTGTGAAAATGTAAGTTTCGTACATGCATTATTGTAATTATTCAGTTTGAAGGTAGATTCTAATTTAATTTTTAGGGTTTAGTCTTTAAATTGGTAATAATTTTGGAAATGGAAAAGTGTGATGTAGTTGTTTATAGATGGTTAGCAGTTAATTTGTGAATCCGAACTACATTTTGACAATGCGAAATCGGTTAGCTGCTGATTTATTGGGAGTTGTTTAGCGGAAGCATTGCGTGAAGGTGGTGAAGTAGGCCATGGTTGCGCAAGGGAGTTGCGGTTCGATAGTGAGAATGTAAGTGTTCGAAACCCCTATGTAGGTCGTTCTGTTGTGTATGAGGTATTTGTTTGAGTTAACAATTAGTAATGCATGAATTAGGGGAGTAAACAAAATTGAAGTAGTTGAAAAGTTAGGGTTTTTTGGTGTCTTTCAATTATAGGTATCGTTTCAATTTATAGTTGTTGTTGATAGTGATTGAGTTAGTGCTTAAATAAGTTGGCATATTGTTTAAATGTAAGTCATTTTTTGAGCAATTGTTGGTATTGTTAGATTGTTGATTGTAACCTGATAAATTGAGGTGCGTGTGGTTAATCTGTGTTGTGTATGTTGAAATTTGGAGCAGGTTGAAATTAATATTGAGGGTTGTCTTTAAATTTTGAAATTGATACTTGGAAAATGGTTGTTCATTGGTATGATGGTTTTTTGTAGCCATGAACATGATGTTATGTATAATGTAGATATTGTACTTTGTTACTTGTGGTGGTGTTGTGTATATGATTGTTTTATGGCTGTGTCATTGTTATAGGGGGTGTTGGTGGTGAGGATGATGTATGTGATAATGAGGAGGGATTTGAGAGTGAGCATGGGTATGGAGAAGGAGATGAGGAGGAGAATGAACAGGGATCAGAAGATGATGGAGAGGAATGGGGGTCAGATTATGAGGAAGTAGAAGTGGAGGAAGGAGTTGAAGATGAAGGAGTTGAAAATTGAGGGTTATGAATGAGTATTTGAATTGGGTAATTAAGAAATGTAGACTCTTTTAATTAGATGATGAAGATGTTAGGGTTAGGACCCTTTGTTATGGTTAGGACCCTTTGTTGTAAATTTGATATGAACTTCAATCCATGTAATTGAGTAAGTAAATGGGTAATTGGTAATGTTAAATTGCCATAATCTTTGATATGAATGTAGATTGTTCATTGTTATTTGATAAAATGGGTGTTGTAGTTGAGTTGATGAAATTTGTTTAATATATTGGATGAGTTGCTGCTAATTGTATGAGTTATTGTCGAACCTGTTTGTGTGAAAAATTTTACAAAAAAAAAAAAGCTTTGAACTTGTTGTTTATCGAACCAGTTGCTGTCAAAGAAGGTAAAAAAAAGTTTTGTTATGAATTATGTGATCATATAGTTTGTTGGGTTTGGTGTTGTTGTGTATGTTTTTGGTTATTGGTTGTTTGTTGTAATGTTTTATTTTCAATGAGTCATGGTTGTGTATGTGAATTAGGTGGATGTTGCTGATGGATAAGAAGATGGTGGGGAGGATGATGTATCTGTTTATGAGGAGGGATTAGAGAGTGTGGGATTAGTGAGTGATGATGAATTAGGAGAAGGTGAGGTGCAGGAGGATGAAGAGGGGGAAGGGTTTGAGGTTGAGGATAAGGGGGTAGATTACAAGGAAGATGAAGTTGAGCTTGGTGTTGAAGGGGAATTTGATGGGGCTGGTGCAGAAGGTTCCTCATTCATAACCCCAAAGAAGAACACGATAATGGTGCACACTATGTTTGGTGTGGAAGAGGAAGTAGCACCCCCAAGTTTGGGCATGGTCTTTAGGAGTTGGGACGAGTTGGATACCTATTTTTGGAGTTATGCTAGGCAAAAGGGTTTTGGTATAGTGAGGGCTGCTTCTGGGTGGGTGGATGTGAAGAAGGAATTGAAAAAGGGAAGTGTTGTAAGCAGAGAAGGAATGCTAAGTGGACTTATGACTGTTATGGTTACGCTTCAAGGAAGCATAAACAGGATGCACTTAAGGAAGGGTTGTTGCAAGATGAGGAGACAATTTAGAAATGGAAGACTAAAAAGTGCGGGTGTCTTGTGGAGTTGTATGCCAGTGTTAATGAGGAAGGGAACTGGGTTGTTTGAAGGCTGAATTTGGAGCACAAAGGTCACATTGTTACTCCGGGAAAGTCAAAGGATGTAGCGATGTACCGGAAGCACGAGTTAATGGTGAAAAACAATCACTTGGTCAAGCAGGTGCATACAACGAAGAAGTCTAAGGTGAAGATATCCCAAATGTACAGTTGTTATGCTCGGGAGCGTAATGGAGTGGAGGAGATGACATTTATGCAAAGAGACTTGGAGAATGCAGTGGCTCAGAAAACCAGACTTGAGCTTACCGAGGGTGATGCAAATGGCATGATAGAGTACTTCAACAAAATGAGTGCCGACAATTAGAATTTTTTCCATCTATATCGGTTTGGGAAGGGCAGGGCATTACAAGATGTTGTGTGGGTAGACACGAGGAGTAGAGCTGCGTATGAGGAGTTTGGAGATGTTTTGTGTTTTGACAGTACGTATTTGACAAACAAATTTCACCTTCCCTTTGCTGTGTTTATCGGTGTGAACCATCATAGGCAGAGTATTTTGTTTGGGTGTGTATTGATCTCTCGGGAGACGGCGGAGACCTATGAGTGGGTGTTGAGGACTTGGCTACATTGCATGGGGGGTAAAGCTCCTATCTCAATCCTAACGGATCAAGATCCGGCGATTAGGAAAGCTGTAAACTTGACTATTCCAAGAGTTGCCATAGGTGGTGCATATGGCACATACTTCAGAAGTTTGGGAGGTATGTGGGTAAGCATGAGGACTATGAAGCTGTAAAGGATGAGTTTGAAAATATCATTTATGGTAGTTTAGATGCTGATGAATTTGTAGATTGTTGGGTGGACGCAATTGATTATTACAAACTAGGAGATAACAGTTGGCTTGAAGGTACTGCACTTCCATTTTATTTATTTATTTTTTTTTTTTTTGGGTTTGTGATTGTTACTGATTTTTGTTAGAATATGCAGAGGTGTAGCTGTCTGTGTGCAGGGGACTGGAAGCTGTTTCAGTTCTAATTTAGAGTAGGAGCAGGTTTAGTGGTAGACTTTTGTACCACTAAATGATTTTTTTTTTTTTGCAAGTTTCTTATCTGTGGCACATTTCTGAGACAATGAATGTACCATTCACAGGAGTCCAGGTGTATGAGGTATTTGAAATGTAATTATTTGAAATGTAGGGCTGCATGAGGAAAGGCACATGTGGATCCCAACGTATTTGAAACATTTATTCTGGCTGGGATGAAAACGACCCAATGTTCTGAAAGTTTCAATCACTTCTTCAAAGGTTAGGTTGACAAGCATACAACGTTGTCTGAATTTGTGCTTCGATATTGCGATGCAATGTAGATAAGGGCCGAGTCAGAGAATTGCAGACTCCAACACACTGCGGTACATCAGGCATTTAGCTACCGATTTCCCAGCGGAGGAAGTGTTTCAGAAGTGTTACACGGACGCCAAATTCAAAGAAGTTCAGCAGGAGTGCAAGAGGATGTTGTACGTACGTCGCCTAGATGACTATGAAGTTGGTGAGAATCAATTTGAGTTTGTTATTGAGGACCGAGTGTGGATCAAGCCAAAATATGCAAAGAAAGAATCTGTGACTAAGATAGATGCTACAGGGTGTGCTATGACAGTAATACATATGAAGCTAGTTGTGAATGTAAACACTTTGAGTGCCATGGAATCATTTGTCGACGTATGATCTTTGTGTATGACCATTGCAGTGTTTCCATTATTCTTGAGAAGTATATTCTTCGTCGTTGGAGGAAGGATATTCAAAGGAAACACACACGAGTGAAAGTAGCTTACCATGATCCATTTAAAACCGATGAAGCCAGGCAATATCACAAATTGATGGGGATGTATGAACCAATTTGCTCAAAGGCTTCAGCTTGTAAGGAGGGTGTTGAGGCTGTGGCAGAGTTGTTGCAATTGATGGACCTCAGAGTCGATGAACTGTTGGCAATGGTTGTAAAAAAACAGGAACATGCAGCTAAGGATAATGAAAACGAAGGTAAGGATGATGACGTACATTGTGTTGTTCGGACGCCTTCTTCTGTGGCTTTGAACAAGGGGCTTGGTTGTACAAGTACACCAGCCACACATGCATCTGGGTTGCCAAATACAATCCCTACACCAGTTAGTGCCTTTGTGGGGAGTTGTGATAGATCTGTTCCGGCAGTGA